CGTTTATTAGGTAAAGTCCAAGTTTTGGTTGAGCCCTCTACTCAGGGGGTATGCTGTGTACTTCACATTGTGCACATTAGGTGAGAGCTCACCAATCCTCCTCCGTCCTCCCCCCACTTGAATTTAATTGTTTTTTTCTCTAATGTGGGTGTGTGGTTGTTCATCTACTAGTTTCATATTAGTACTGAGTACATTGGAGACTTGCTTTTCCAGTCTTGTGATACTTTACTAAAAAGAATGTTCTTCAACTCCATCCAAGTTAATACAAAAGATGTAAAGTCTCCCTCTTTTGTGGCTGAATAGTATTCCATGGTAGACATAACATTTAAAGGAGGAGAGACAGGTGCAGACAGGGTAAGTCCAATTCTCAAGTCGTCCCAGTAAGAGCCCATTTTGGACCTGGATGTGTGGCTCAGAGCCTATGCTCTTAGCCATCTTCTTGGGTTACAAGCAAAGGGCTCAGTGCCATTCTGTGAACTCTCCATGTTGTCTTTGTGAGGCTATGAAGAGGGATGGAAGAACACATCCGTCCTTTAGGTCACACATCATTTTCTGTCTCATCTAGAGGAAAAAGGGAATTATGCCTATTGGCTGTTGGCTCTGACTTACTGAAGTTGTCCAATACCAGGGACCCAAGGGAAACTGTCTTCTGAAAGGGCTGCCCTGTGCTTGCAGCTGAGTGTGTCTGCTTTGTCATCAGTGACACAGGGAGCAACATGAAAAGAGAGCAGGCAACTTATTTTTTGGTTTTGCAAAAAAGAGGTCTTTGGCCCAATTATAAGACATTAAATCTTCCATGTTTTTAGGGTTTTCCTGGGTACTCCAGCACCTGCCCCGACCTCTACCCAAACTGACATATCTACAAAGGGAAAAGTCAGAGATCTTGTTGCTGCCCCATCCTTGACCCCCGGGAGGACTCCCTGCCAACCAGAGGGCCCCCCACGCTCTTCCCATAGCCATAGTGCTCACTACCCATGTCATAGGGGTGATCACAGGGGTCCCAGCAGGACAGACCTGGGAGGACTCCCTGCCAACCAGAGGGCCCCCCACGCTCTTCCCATAGCCATAGTGCTCACTACCCATGTCATAGGGGTGATCACAGGGGTCTCAGCAGGACAGACTGACCAGATCCAGTCCCATTCACCACTCACTGGGCAGCCTTCAGTCAGCACCAAAACACGGGGCCGGGGATCTTGTTTCACTTCTCTTGTTCTCACTCAGCTCTACCCTTCTCAAGGCCAAATTGAACAAACATCATCCTTTACCCAAATCCCTCACCTTGATGTGATCACCTCAGCCTATAGTTCTTTTTCTAGCTTGAATGTCTCCTAGATAGGAGAATGCCCTTGAGAACTGAAGTTAAAATGTTGGTGGCATGCCAGGAGCCCTCACTCATACCCCAGTGTCCTGGCCATCTCTTGTTCTGTGGAACCTCTCAGAAGTCTCTTGTCTCCACAGCACTGAGGAGGGTGACCCTGATGGGTTAAAGAGAAACAAGGGAAATACAGCTGTGGCAACCTACTGAGCCTCTACCATGTAACAGACACTGTACTGGCTCCTTCTATTCACTCGGTCTTACTGAAATCTCAAAGCTACTCCAGAAATGATCTGTTATTACCCCCACTTTAGAAATGAAGAAACTGAGACTGGGAGAAGTAAAGTCACTTTCTGAGATCACAAAATCATTTCACTGGGAAGCCCAGGTATTCTTGGCAACAGCACATCAGCCTGATTTAGTGGCCATGTAACATTGAATAGTTCAAGGATGTACTTTTAAAATACACTGGATGGCCAGGCATGGTGACTCATGGCTGTAATCCCAGCACTCTGGCAGGCTGAGGTGAGAGGATCCCTTGAACTCAGGAGTGAATAAGAGAGAGACCTCTGTCTCTACTAAAATAGAAAAAATGGGCATTGTGGTGGGTTCCTATAGTCCCAACTACTCAAGGAAACTAAGGCAAGATGATCACTTGAGCCCAGGAGTTTGAGGTTGCTATGAATTATGATGCCACAGCACTCAGCAGGTGACAGGTTGGGACCCCGTCTCCAAAAAAAATAGAAAAAAACAAAATAACCTGGTCAGTAGCTGGGCCCTATTTTCCCACTGGATGTGTGCTGGTGGCAGAGAATGAAGGGAGTAAAACTGAGCACCCCTCCCTGCTTGAACAGCCTGGGTATGAATGTGTAGAGGAGACACCTGTAGCTTCCTCTACCACTCCAAAGACAGACCCCGTTGGGGTTCTGGGGAGAGAACAATTGCCTTCCAGTAAAGTGAGAAAGGGAGTGAAAGTGAGGTATATTTTTGAAATCTTGGTGTTTTACAAACCAACCAGCATGTAGAACCTGAGTGGGAATGGTGGGAAACACACAGGGATGGGATCAGGAGGATTCAAGCAGCTAAGACTACAGCCAGCACTGAACTGTGGAAACAGCTTTAATGTATAGTGTCTAAACAAGGTCACTTATCTTAGCAAATTGCTTACCAGAGGGGAATTAGACGAAGGAATATTTTTATCTGTACAAGGTTTTTACCAGATAGAAAAAAAGGGGAAGTTACTAGATAAGCAAAAAGAAACTTTATCAAAAGCTATTTTCTTTTTTTACATGATTCTATCACAGAGGGTAAAGATTAACTTTAGGGAGGAAAAGCTGTGTTCTTTCCAGCAAAAGATAAAAGGGAAAGTGTGCAGAGGCTATGTGACCTCTGGCAGAACAGAAAGAATGTTGTTGTTCAGGAGAAGCAGCTGGGAATGGTGGGCTGACCTTGCACATCAATGGAATTCTTTTCTTTTTTTCTTTTTTGAGACAAAGTCTCAAGCTGTCTTGGTGTCACAGCTCACAGCAACCTCCAACTCTTGGGCTTAAGTGATTCTGTTGCCTCAGCCTCCTGAGTAGGTGGGACTACAGGCACCCGCCACAATGCCTGGCTATTTTTTTGGTTGCAGTTGCCACTGCAGTTTTAGCTGGCCAGGGCCAGGTTCAAACCCACCACCCTCAGTATATGGGGCCAGCACCCTACCCACTGAGCCCCCAGTGCTGCCCAGAACTCTTGCTCCCAGGTTTTCTATTGAAACTTGACTGAGACTGAAATTAAATCAGGCTATTTTCAAAAAGATTCCTGGAGGCTGGCACTGTGGCTCGGCCTGTAATCCAAGATGGGAGGATCACTTGAGGCCAAGATTTC